CCCCAAAACCCCAAAACCCCAAAACCCCAAAACCCCAAAACCCCATTACTCAATAAAATTATTGAAAATATGTCTGAAGCTCCTACCTCCACTCAACCTGATAAGAAAGATGACCTTGGTTTGACACCTGAGGAGATAGAAGAAAACAAAAAGGCTCAACAGGAGCTAGAGGCTCATAATGAAGCTGTCACCAAACAGATGGAGGATCTCAAAAATGCTGTCAGAAAAGATATGCCTTTTGTTAGCAAATACCTCACCTTGGATGAGTATAAGCTCAAATGGGAAGGCAACAAATTCTATGACTCTTTTGATTCTATCATGACCAAGTTCTCCAAAGTCAGAGAACTTAGAAGAGATGGAAACTGATTCTACAGAGCTATTCTCTGGCAAATTTTCGAATACTTCCTTGTGAATAAAAGTGAACATGCACTTGTTGAGTATGATAAAATACTCAAGAAAATAGAAGGAGCGAAGCAAGACCTCATGGATAATGGCTACGATGAAGTCGTTGTTGATATGTTCCATGACCAATTCTTAGAGGAATTTAAAGGTCTTAGTGAACCTAAAATTGATGTTACAGATGATGAAGCTGTTGAAAAATACCTAGAGGAAAGACTCTGAGATGAATCTCTTGCTTCTTATTTGATCACATATATCAGATTTATTATTTCAGCATATCTCAAAGCTAATAGAGAGATGTACCAACCTTTCATTGAACTTGACATGGACACATACTGCCAGATAAGAGTTGATGCAGTTGAACAAGAAGCAGAAGAAATCTGCATCATTGGACTAATGAATTATCTAGATCTTGCAGTTGAAATCATTCAAGTCCAACCTGATGGATTAGCATACACCTCAAAAATTCCGGAAGATGCAGTAGATGATGAAAGTAGATTCATCGGAAGACTTCTTTTCACACCTGGACATTATGACTCTTTGCATATATAGCCAGAAAATAATGAGATCATTAAGGATTTGAGATAGAAAAATTCAACCATTTTATTGAGTATTGGGGTTTTGGGGTTTTGGGGTTTTGGGGTTTTGGGGTTTTGGGG